CATTCTACTGTACCTGTGTACTGATCACATCAGATGGTACAGCACTAAAAAGTGTGACTGCCTCCTGGTACAAATAATTGAGGTAACTTTCATGCTCACTGAAGCTTCTCAGTTTCTAGAGGTCACCATGTCCAGTTCATAAGCTGTCAGTTGAAGCTGCTCGAACTTCAAACTCTTACTGCAAATGTTTGCTGTGGACCAAACTGGTATCCATAAACCTCCACATGCTGCACTTGAACACCTGTCCTGCCATCCAGAATGCTCTAAGCAACGACTTAATTGATTTATGCAATTATATGTTTAGTTAATGCTTTATTATATTTTATTGACCTTGCCTCCAGTTGGTTTACTATTGTGATTCTTAGGAATAGGATGAATCTTAACTATTTACCCAATACTCATCAAATGACCAACAACTTCTCTTGCAGAGTAAATGGGGAGTAATAGAGAGGAAACTGCAGGATCTGGTAAATTAGTATGCTGGGCAAGACTAATTCTGGCAGCTGGGGAGCACATTGGATCTATAAGAGGTAGTGAGCTTGAAGTCTTTGGGGGTCAATCCTGAACTCTTGGAAGGAGATGAGGAGAAATTTCTTCACCCAGCAAGTTTCACATTTTTGGAGTTCCCTACCCCCAGAGAGCTGTGGATGCTCAGTTCTTGAGTATATTCAAGACTGAGGTTGATACATTTTTGGGCTCTAAGGGAATCTCGTCTTCTTGGCCGTGCCTTGGATCAGAAATAAGGAGAGGGAGAGAAAGAAGGACAAGGAAGATAAAGAGAATGAAGCTGTAAGAGACTAGAGTGAAATTAGTGAAAGGTAATGGATGTAGTAAAGGTAAAATAAGAGATGAAAGGAAAAAGCAGAAAAAATTTTTTTTAAAAAATCCATGTTCTATATAAGGAGCCAGTTATTAGTCAGCCAATTCATTGATCCATGGCCACTGAGATTGTGCACATCTTCTTTAACTTCAGCCCTTATGATCTGCCAAGCTGCTCAATCATGAGTGTCACTGCACTTACTTGCCAGCAGTTGAGGCAAAACCAACCTTCAAGTAGGCTTTCTAGGTTTCTTTAAAATGTTTCCATTGGCTGCACTGCAGTCTTTAACTGATCACGGGTTGGAAGTAGAGTGTGCCCATATGGAAGCCATGTTTTCAGTTTTTTTTTTTGCTGCGGCCTGTTCAGTGCACTTACTGCACGAGGGCAGTCATCTGTATACTTGGTCTGCTTGTATCCTGGAGCGTGATCATGTTGAGTGGTGTCCATTCAGGTCTTGTGTAGGCAGCACTGATGAGCTTTCTCGGGCATCAATGATACCTCCTCACCAAAGAGAATGATTGCCTTGTAGACTGCAACTTTTGTGTCTGTCTGCAAATGATAGTTCTTCAAGATTTATCCACATGGTTTCCCCCAGGAGAATTGTGCTCACTCTCTTCTGCATCTTTCCAATGGTATTTCCCAAGATGATCAAGAAAGGTCTCCCACTCAGTGTTCCAAGTGAATATAAATTCAACAGAGAGCTTTTCAACCTCCAAACGCTGAAATCAAAGACCAGAGACTCAGGTGTGACCATAGCAGACCTCCAGTGTACAGGATAGGGTACCAGATGATTAAGGGAAAGGTGTCAGGTAAGAAGGCTGTTGGGTACCACCTGGGAAAGGTGCCACAGCATAAGGAGTGCAGGTGGTAAGGGAGCCAAGAAAGTAAAATGGTATTTAGAGTAGGTTGATGTGGGTGGGAGAAGTCGGGTCTAATCAAGGGAGGGGTGAACGTGTACAGCGGCAGGAAAAGGAGATTCAGGTGCAGAGCAGGGGAAAGAGCAGAGGGAGGTTGGCTGTGGAGGTTGGGGGCGGTCAGGTGTGGAACTGGGAGAAGGAGTGACAATGTTTAATAGCGGGGAAAGGAGGCTTGGATGCAGAGCAGGGGAGGCAGAGTTGGGGTGTGAAGCAGGGGAAGGGAAGAGTACAATGGCGGAAGAATGGGGCTCGGGTGTAGAGTAGGATAGAGGGGTTTGACAGATTTGGGAGCAGGGAAAGGAGGGAATCGCTTTCAGTGGAAAACAGGATGAAGTTGGGGTGGGGGGAGAGGGTCAGGTCCCAGCAGGTGAAATTGGATTGTAGGTACCGAGTGGAGTGTGGGTCAAGGTCTGGAGGTTATGAATGATCTGAGTGAACGTGTAATCGGAGGGGTGCTAAGTTAAGCATGGGGTCAATTGAATAGTTACTAAGGAATATCATGCAGCTAAAGTCACTTCCATTACCTGGGTTTCATAATTCTTGTCAAGTAAGTCTATTATTTAGCACATTATCATTTTCAAAGTGTTTTCATCTCTATGAAACACAATAACTGTTAAATTGAGATTTAAATTTCCAATCATCTCAAAGAATCACGTAACAAGGTTTCATCTTTAAGACTTTTATTGTAAAAACCAAAGTAAAATCAACATTAGTTACACATTAGCTAGTTGGCAACTTATACATTAAGCTACATGAAAGGTAACTCCCCTTTAATTCCTAACACCATAGAAAAGCCCATACCGTGTTTCTACATTACAGAATTGTAGTTGTACAAGAACCAGTCCATGGTTACTCCCAGCTTCCAAGAAGCTTGCTCATTTCTATTTCACCAAGTCATAACATTGCATGCCTGTTGGAAGTCATTTCTCTCATCTCCTGGACTTGAAGCATAATCCCCATTCCTATAGACTCCCTTTCATCTTCACTGCGGAACTTAGAGTGTGGGAGCTGCTTATATGTTAGCAATGACCACTGCTCCGAGTGCCACTGCTGGGCCTGTAGAGGTGTCGGACAATCAACTTGTCTTAGGTGGAACTTCTTCTCAAATGGAGGCCGAAACTTTGCTTCAGCCAATTAACACACTTGAACAAAGCAGATTTAATTGAAGGTAGCATTAAGCCGCGTATCTCTGGTTTAGAAGTGTTTAGGTAATTGAATGACTTGCTAACCATATGTTGGAAAGAAATTGAGTGAAGTTGTACCTGATTATTGCATTTCAAATTACATTTGCCCTTTGTAGAAAATGCTGATCAAATCTATTGAATGATACCTTTTAACCTGATCTGCAGTTTGTACAATTCAGATATTGATTTGCAGTTGAACTACAATATATATTGTACACTTTTTTATTTTGCAGATCTTTGAGCGGATTCTCTTCATATGGGCCATTCGACATCCAGCAAGTGGTTATGTTCAAGGAATTAATGATCTGGTGACTCCTTTCTTCGTAGTGTTCCTTTCAGAGCATGTGGGTAAGTTTATGTAATTTATCCAGACTGAAGTTAATTTAAAAAAAATAGTGTTTTTTTCTGCAGCAACAGTATTTCTATATAGAAAGAAAATGAATAAATTCGATGATCAGATGACATCTGGAATACTCTGAAAAGTTCTGGTCTTTATGTGCAGAAAGGAAATAGAGACTGTGGAGAGACAGAAGAAAGATTTGCAAAGATAACCGCAGAACCAACAGTCTAAATCCATCAGGAAAGACTAAGCAGGCTTTTGCACTTTTCTTGAGAAAAGAGAATGCTGAGAATGACCGAGAAAAAGTCATCAAAATAAGAGTGAAGGCTCAGTAGAGTAGATGTAGAGAATATGTTTCATTTGTGCGGTATTTCAAAACCAGGGTCAGTCAGAAATAAATCCATTAGGAGTTCAGGAGAATCTTCTTTGCTCAAAGAGTGGTTAGAATATGGAACTTAACATCAAGTGGAATAGTTGCTACAAATGACATAAATGGTTTTAAGGAAAATTTAGTTAAGTGGATGGAGTAGAAAATAGGGCTAGTTCAAACATGGTGAGAGAAGGATCATGTGGAGCACAAACACCAAAACAAACTTGTACTAAATAACCTGTTCCTGTACTGCATGTTCTATGAAATGTTTCAGATACCTTTGTTAACTTGTATGTAACAACAAGGCGAGTGGGGGATATTTAAAGAAAGCCAGGTACACTATTTTCTTTAACGTAAGCCCATACTCCTTGACTCTAGAAATATTCCTACATAGTGGACTGCTTTTCATACATTCTAGGAAGTTCATATTTTTGAAGGAAGTTTTTTTGTTAAAACTTATGAAGGAAGGAATATTCCTTGAAACTTCTGTGTTTTGAAAATAAATTTCTCGTTCCTCAGTTATGGACTGAGGTTCATTTTTCAAGAAATTAGGGCAATAGAAAGTGGAGCTGCCTTAGAACGTTGGCCCAGTTTTTCTGCTACTCTGACAATAATTATTCCATTGTAGATGGGAGTAATATATGGGAATCCTGCAGAATCCCCAACATGGCAGACTCTGAAGGAATGTCCAGGAATTTAAAGATTCTGCTGGGCAATTCCTCCAAGCCTGAAATCTTCTAAAAGTCTCCATTTAAATCAGAGTACTTGGAGTGTTCTAGTGAAATTAGGTAATTACTATGGAAAGCCTAAAGTATTAAATACATGGTCTAACTCCTAAGTAACTGAGACCCTGTCTGAGCAATCCCCAGGACCCAACACATCCATCCATCACTCCCTCTTTCCCTCATTGCTAGATCTGATCTGATACCCTACCCTGCTGTTAGACGCACGCTGACTCTCTACCCTCTCCCACTACTCTGCAACTCTCCACCTGAACAGACTCGGCCCATTCTGACCAGTCGCAGCTCAACACGAATCTCCTTCCTCCATGTCCAGACCCAATTTCTCCCCTCCATGCTTATCGCCCCTAAACATCGCATCACTTGCATGGCACCCTTACCAGTTTGTACATTGGCACCCTACCCACTTTGCACCCTATCTGCTTTTCACTTTGCAGCCTATCTTCTACCCAACTAGCACCTTACCTACCTGACTTGGCAACCTACCTCCCACTTATCTAGCATCCTACCTATCTGGCACATTCTCTCCTAACTCCTTAACATCATACTTTCCTTAAGTAAGGAGTCTAAAAGGGCCCCAGGCAAATGACTGCTGTGAAAAGGGGATATAGTTTGCCTTCCCCTGTAATGGTTCTATAAATTGTCAGAATGGAGGTACAGCTCTGCATTTGTGAAGGAGCACCGATCAAAATCTCTTCTCGGAAAGATGGAGCTCCATCCCTTAGTTTGAAAAAGAAAGGGCCGAAATGGCAATCTGTGTGAGATTACTAGTTCTCGGAAAGTTTGGTTCATAATATCTCTAGCTAAGAGAGTTGACATCCAGCAACTTGTGCAATCTTTAATACTAAAATCTAGCAATTTCTTCGTGATAAGATAGAAGACATTCCCTTTGTCAAAACAGGCCCATCTTCTGGAAGACCTTTTTAATGTTTGTACAGGTTAGGGGAAATTGGATCTTGATATAATGTGTAACAGCTTTCTACACATCGCAAACTAAGCTGTCACTTTGAAATAAGAACGTATCGGATCTCTCTGGGAAAGAACTGTTCTGCATAACACTGGAGTTCACTTGTGAACTAGAAGCACTAAGATCTTTGAAGGCTGATCCACCCCCAGCAAATGACTGAGTTACATTTCTACAGAGTTAGTTCTTGGACAGTTTTTTTGTTAAATAGTTACTTCAGTTCTGTGTGGCATTTCTGGTTGAAGGACATTGTGAAATAGTCTACTGTTGAGTACAAAACATTTTTTAGTTTGACCTATTGTAAGACTTTTTTGCGAAAGGGTAGATAATGGCCTAGTGAATTTATCACAATACTATTAATCCAGAGTCCCATGGGGACTTGGGTTTGAATCCTTGGCATGGTGGATTTTGAGTTCAATAATAGTTTGGAAATAGAGTCTAATGATAACCAATGCTGATTGTCTGAAAAAAAATCTCATCTGGTTCACCAATGTGCTTTAGGGACGGAAATCGTCTGTCCTTAACTGGTCCGGCCTACGTGTGACTCTGGTCCCACAGCAAAATGGTTGACTGTTAACAGCTCTCTGGGCAATTTGAGATGGACAATAAATGCTAGCCTAGCTAGTGACACCCAGATACCATGAATTAATATAGAAATAATAAATGTATGACACCTTTGTGATTGTTCCCACGAATTTGCTCTTTGTTATTTAGTTTGATGTTTTCATATTTATTTTTATATTTAAGTGCTTGCAATTTGGGAAGCAAAGAAGTAGAATTTGTTGAGTGCAGGAATTTTTGTGCACTGCAGGTTGAGTTAATAATCTGCATGCTATTCAATTCATGAGTGTGCCTGCAAAATATTCTCTGTGGCTATTGTTGCAGTTCTAAAATAGTTTTTGAAGTAGGTTTTTTTTGACTATTCCAGGACTCCTAAAACTGGCTGAAACCTCAGCACACAGACAATACATCACCTTTAAGTAAAAGGTAGAATCGAAGGAGACATGTCTGTAATTTTAAACATTTAATTGAAAAATATGAGGACTCAAATGATTTTCTTTAAATTAGTGAGATTAAAGTTTAAATTATGAATTGTACATTACTTAGCATACGTGGGGAAAAGGCTATGTGTCTTTGTAACAAAATGGAAAGGAACAAATGTACCATTGAATTAGCCTTTATGAAAGGGAGTCTTCAGAAGGCTACAACAGGAAACTACATATAGGTCATTTTCCTCAGATGCAAACTCCATCTCAGATGTTGTGAATATATACATTTTTAAAAAAGCACAAGTTTCTGGAGCCTAGATAGAGCTGGTGATCCTCAAGCTCAAAGTTCCCCAACAGGAAAAGTTCATTCTAGAAATGTAAGCAGCTATCTTTTGAGGTTTTTTATCATCAGACTAAACGTGTATGAACCAGTGAACAAGAGAAGACAACAAGTATATATTTTTTTAAATTCTTGAAGGTAAGATGAAATTTGTATAAGAAACTCTGAATAACATACTGAGAAGAAAAAAATTACCTAAAGGCTAATGATAAGCCACAGGCTTTGTTTTTATAACGCCGTCATGAAAGGAATAAAAGACTAATCTTGAGATCATTGTACATAAATTCTGCATTGGTAAAGAAAGCATGCTCAATATTATGTTAAATACCAGTGAAGAAGGTCGACTAGCTTTTATTTTGTTTTCCAAGTGGTTAGCTTTTATTTCGAAGCATATTTGCTATAAATATTCTGCATTATATCCAAGCCAGGAATCTCTTTAAATTATGAATATTTTGTCCCTAGTTTGGAGTTGAATATAATCAACAAGTGTGCTGGTTTTTAATTGAATGATATTCTTTCCTTAGCAGAAAAGCAAAAGAAAACTGCTTGCTAGTCTATGCTTCTGCAAGGTAATAGGGCAGAATTTGCTGTCAAAAGAACAAAATATCTAAGTGGTACTTAATGTTATTAGTGCACAAGTTGCACAAGAATCTCAAATGAGAGCTGAATTACAGTTCACTGCAAAAATCTGAAAGTCAGTGTCTGAACTCTGCATCCTCTAATGCTTCTTGAACAGTAGCTTGCTGTCCAATTCTCTATTCAGAGACAATTGAATAGTGTGACATTTCTGTACTTAACATGCTAAAAACAAACTAGGAGTTAGGTTTTATTTCAACCAAATACCCTTTTAAATTGTTTGGTAAGTCTTGATGACTGGTCAACAATTTTCGTGGCATCAAAAAAAGCTATAAGAAGTTCAGTATCTCATTTCTTCAACTTGTAAATGTTGTTTAAAATTTTTAAATATTAATCATTGTTTTTCTTTGTCTCTTTTTCATCACTTTCAATATAACTTATAAAAAGGGATAAAAGGTTACAGGGAGAAGGCAGGAGAATGAGAGAGCATCATATCAGCTAAGATCAAATGAGAAAGCCGACTCAATGGGCTAAATGCCTAATTATCTTCCTATATCTTATGGTCTGACCTTTTCCTTTTTTATTTACTTTCTTTACCTGATTTGACAGTGAATTCAATGTCCACCTTCCTGGTTTAGACTCTGTCCTGTTCATTTCACAGCTTCAATCTGATTGTCTAAATCATTTGATTGTATTGTTGACACAGATCTAAGATGTGCTGTATCGGCAACTACAACATTTGGATTTCCCATTTACAGCAACTCCCAGCATAATGCTAAATGGCAATTTAATGGCATTATGACTCTTTGATTCTATGATTTGTTTTTGAGAGATAACACTATTAGTTTTAGGGTGGAGATTTCATAAAGCCAGAATTAGAAAGGAGAATACCTAAATAAAGATACAGCTTTGAACTTCTGGCAGGGACAGGCAGTTACTTCAGTAACAAATTGTTTATATGATTCCCAGATGGAAGAAGTTTAGAGCAGTTCTAACCAGGCAATGACCTTGCTGAATCTAGCAATTATA